ATAGTATTTTATAACTTTCAATAGACTGACATAATATGTCAATGCAATACATTACAGAAGAGGAACTATTTCTTAACCAACAGATCATATCTTACAAAAATTACAATATAGAGTATTAGAATTAATACTTCTAGCTTATATATTGATATTTTAATTAATATTCACTGCATATTTTAAATTTACTGATATTTCATTATAATTATATAGTCTGTATAAAAGATAATGACTGAAAAATTTTACCAAATAATTAATCTTCTTTTAAAAAGACTAGTATAAGATAATATATTATACTTTATGAATTTTTATTTCAAGTCTTTGTCCATTAATAAAAATATTCTGCTTAAAAATTATATTAAAATAATATTTATTAGTTTATAAATTAAAAATTATGAAAAGAAAATTAAATAATATTATTACTTATAGTTCTAATAATTTTTTAAAATGTCAAATTGCATTTAAAACATATCATATGTTGTTTATAATGTTCTGTATAGATAATATTTTTTAAAAACTAATTGTGTAGACTGTATAATCACATGAGTATAATATATTTGTAATTAATTAGCCAAATTTTATATAATATAAAGCAAATGGCTTAGTCAGATCAAATATTATATTAATGTAAAATATTTGAAGAATTTTTATTTCCAAATATTATATGTAATATTGCATTAAATATTATATATAATTTTACATAATGAAATTTAATCAATTGAAAAAAATATATATGATATTGAAATTACTATTAAAATTAATATTAAAAGACCTAATAAAATAATTTTTATAGAAACAGTATGCAAGACTATGAAATATTTTAGAGACTATATATATTTAATAAGAGTTTGATAATAATAATTATGATTTTATCAGGTCCAGACCAGGCTTTTAATTATGAAAGACAGCTTAAATTATAACAAAATATCATTATTGATTACTTTACTCATTATATTTTTATTAATTTGTTTTAACTATCATATTTTTGAATCAGTTTTTTCATTATTTTATATAAAATTAAAATAAATTTAATTGTATATTTATAAATTCTTCTAGTTTGATGAATTTAGCAATGATAATTGCTTGATATGCTTAAATCAAAATTTATTTTTCAAATAAATCTAATTTAAAATTAATTACTTACTCTGAAATTAAATATCTTACAATTAACTAAATAAATTTAATAAAATTTTAATTGCTAGTTCATAATAATAATGTGTAACTAAATTTTTGTTTGTTTTAATACAGTAATTTAAGAATATCTTTTTATTTTTGCAGAATTTTCTTATTTTAACCAGGCTGAATTCTAATTTTATTTTGGTAGAATTCTATTAAACTCAAATAATACGTGGATTTCTTTAAATCTATCTTAATTTATAAATATTATAATTTCAAAATAACAAATTTTCTCATTACCTGTCTAATATATCTATTAATAAATAATAAAAAACAAAAATTACTTTATATTGATATTCTAATAATTATCATTATAAAATAAAAAATGCTTTAATTTTATGATTAGTAAATTATACTAAATTTTATATTTCTTAATTTTTACTTTTTTATATTTTATATAATTATAAAGTGCGACTAAAAATAATGCCTCAGGGATTAATAAAATATAGTAAAAATTGAAATTTTCTCTCTATATTAAAATTTATAATTTTATAAGAAATAATTTTTATTTTTATATCAAAATAAAGCTCATCAACTATAACATATATGTTTTTCAGATTTTTTAGATTATTTCTGAAAGAGTTATTCTAATTGCAAAATTAATGCAAAAATTTTTTGCTAATTAAAAATGAAGTTTAATTAATAAAAATTTAATTTTTGTAAAATCTTTTATTTGAAATTGCTTATAAATAATTATCTTAATATCTTTATCTTATTTTAAATACACAAGTTGAAACTTGTAGATTTGACCTATTGTTTTCATCAAATTCAGTATTCACATAAACTAATTTACATGCAAACAAACATTTAATATATATGTATAGTATATAATTTTATTATCAAAACTGAAAAGCGATTATCTTATTTATATCAACTTGATTCAGTAAAAATGAGATTTTTTGCCACATCTTCAATGAGATGTTAGTTTAGTTTATAATCTTTGAAATCTAGTTTTTATTAATAATAGCATACGATATTTCAAACCGTTATCGGTTGATAATAGAATTTAAGAGGATGGATAATTTTTTTGAGCTTGAATTTAAATTTTTGGCGGCGTCGTTTGTATTATTCTCAATATCATATCAATATCAAACTCTCGTGAGATATACGCTGAAATTGTAAAATAAAAAAGTATATAAGTTAAATTTTAGTTACCATAAATTTTTACCTAAATTTACTTCGCTTGTTGATTTGTCATCGACATTTATAGTTCATAGATACAAATAAATATTTTTTTAATATGTACTGTATATATATGTATATACAATAATAGTGATTTAGAATATATAAACTTAAATTTGTATTTTCAAATCAATATGTAATGTCAACTTGATAGAATCCTTATAAGAAATCGATGTACATAAACATATGTAAACGCGCACTTTACGTGTGTTTACGTACATCGAAGGGAATACTGTATAAGATAAATAAATGTATTATCGTTTGAAATTAATTTTTTGAAACGATTCGACTGATATGAATTGTATTTGTGAATTTCTTGTGTCTTGATTATATTCATATGTATTTGTCCATGTTCTTTTATTTTTCTGTTTTCTAAATGAATACAATCTTAATTTCCTTTTGTGTTTTGGGAATAAAGTAGTAAATTTTCTCAGCAGTTGGTCTGTTTTGTGAAATAGTTCTGAGGAATATCATTCGATACCATAGGTTGCACTCTACCACACGTGTTGTATATGAGATAATGACTATAACTCAGTTCACTGAATATTTTCATCGATTACAATATCGTGCATAACCTTTCCAAACTAAAAATATTTTCAGTTTTTAAACCTGCTGGTTAAATTCTGAAATGAAAGGAATATAATATATTTGCAGTGCGAAACTCACAATACATAAATTTGTATTAACTCATTTTATCAAGTTTATAATTAAGGATTGCGACCTATTACCATGAGTCGTTATTATTGAATATTCATCTGTGAAGTTGATTATTCTAGAAAAAAAAGTTGTTAACTTTTTATCTCATTTCTAACTTCTAATTACATGTACTGTAATTTGCATTAAATTATGTGACACAATGTCAATTCTTCATAATGTATTCTTTTACATGTATCTTCTTCATGATTCCACTCTTCTAATGGTTATCCAACCAGGTTGCTTTGTTAATTGTCGCAAAATCTCCTCTTTAATCTTGGTAATCTTTCAAAAGGAATTCATCCGAAGAAACTTTGGACTTTCATGCATTCATTTATTAAACTGTCGACATCTTTGTTTGTTAGACCATTCAGTTTTATAAAATTGTTAGTGATAGTCTAAACTTCAGTTACTCTTCTGAAATGAAGTGCATTAATAAGTTTTTAAGAAATTGCATTGATTCAAGTGGAAACCAATTTTTGCCGAAGCAAATCAATTAATATGAATTATAAAAAAATAATATAGTTGTTACTTTCAAAATGCATGTCATTAGACAAATTTTTTACATTGCATAGTGAACCTGGATATAACGAAACCTAGATAAAACGACTTTGCATTTATAATGAAGTTTTCTGATGCACAAAATTTTTTTTAATATAATTTTCTACCCGAATAGACGAAAACCTGGTTATACCGAAAAAAATAGTTGGAGAGGACCACTTCGTTATATCCAGGTTCACTGTGTACATACTTTTTAACCAATCATATCATATTAAATTTTAATAACACAGAAACATTGTATATGATTTTTAATTTTTTCATATTTATTCATTAAGAGTGTGTATCACTCGAATAACTATAGTAATGGGCAGACAATTTTTGCAAATAAATAAAAGTTAGAATAATAGTCATAATAAAATTTATTTTTAGAATGTTTATAAATAGCGCTTTATACAAACATATTCTACTTTTGCTGTTATTTTTTCATGCCTCCACTTGAAAAATAAACATATATTATAAAGACCATATTATATTAAAAACTTCGTCACAAATGTTACAAAAAAGACCTTACTTGGTGATGGTTATGATTTACTCCTTCAATTAATTATTACAACAAACATTCTTATGAATTTAACCTTTAAGTGAACTTTCTTATTTATATCGATTGAAATTAATAATTAAGAGTTTTTCAAATAGCAAACCAAAATAGTAGACTTTATAGTTATCTCTCTTTGCGTTTAATTCTAAATTAAAATATCTTCATATGTCAGAATAAATAAAAACTTTGCACATACATTTGTTTTTTGATAAATATTACGAGAGTTTTATAAAATGTTTTCTCAGTCATACTCACTTATCAGATTCATTTAAAAGGAATTAAGAATATTCATAAGCGGCGGTGCACTGAAATTACATGTACATGTATTAGGTTTGGATTTAGAAGGTGTTTTAATCTTGTAATACTCTATTCTTGGAATATGCGTCTACTAGTATTATCTGCTCTTGAGTTCTATAACTTTCTTTGGAGTCACTTTTATTACGTGGGACTGAATAATAAAGTAATTATAAAACAATATATTGCAATATGCTCAATGGTGGATAGCATTCGTGTATTTAGACAATAAAGTATACAATTTTTGGAGTTGTTTCATAGACTTGTTTGAAAAAATCCTTGTTCTTGTGAGCGATTAACATTGTTTTCAAGTAATCTTAGGAAATTTAACTTTCAAAGTGACAAAATTTTATATATCTTTATTTCTTCCCGCTCTCTCAATGAATTATTTTTTTAAAAACAAAAGAAACGGCAATTCTCAACGTAAAGCACGAGCGCTTTTTACTATTTCGAACATGCATTGCAGCAGAAACGAAAATACTTAATCTGCGAATAGGTGATGCTTACATTTCCTGTTTTGCTAGCGAACATTAGAAAATGTTACCTGAACACCAAAAGAAGCCTATAAAAAGCTTTCGTCTGATTTTATTTATAAAAAATTTCTAAAGATCAGTTTCTGACGATCTACACACATCACCAATGAGTAACAATTACAATTGTCAACGTGTTTCAATGCCCATTTCAATTCTGGCATCATACCCATCAAATAGCTACCAATCTCTGCGCCAAATTTTTCCAAAGTCTTGTATCCGACTGCACCATATGGTTTCACAATGGTATTCACGCGCTCGTATAACTCGGTCGATGAATTATTATTCTCGATTTTCACATGTGGCGGTTGTGAAATACGACGAAAATCGATCTGTATTTTTCTGTACATAAGTTCGGAAGTAAGATGATAGATTACGGATTGCAGTGCGTGGATAAATGAATCTACTTTTAAGGCAGCGGCGCGATTTGGAAGGGATGTGTAAATGCTTTAGGTGGGAGTTGAAAGTAATGCATTTTTTCGGCTAATTCTTGACGTGTCACGTGTGGTATTGGGGTTCTGATTGTTGGTGTGAGGGGTAATGATTCCATTTTTGAGTTTACTTGACGTTTGTGAAGTTCACCATATAATGCATAAGTCATTACTATCAAGTAATCGTTTGTAACTGTGTTTTAGTCATTCCATAATATGCTATCAAGCTGCCGTAATCATAGCATTTAAGCCTAGTTTGAATCTATTTTTGAAAATTTTGATTGTATCAGAAAACAAAAAGCAACTTTCACTTTAGAAATGTTTATTTTTTACCTCGTGTATAAACTCTTGAGTAATTTGCTTTGAATTGTGTAATGATTTCAACACAACTTTTCTTTCTTCTCTTTTTCGTTTAAATTTATTTTCTTAATGATCCCATTTGGAAGATTTATCATATTTATCATAATCCAATGGTCCACCCAACCAGGTTGCTTTATAAATAGGCCCAAGACCTTCATTTGCAAGATCTTCAACATTGATAAATCTTTCAAAAGGAATCCATTCGAAAATATTTCGATATTTATTATCAATTTTGTTGCATTCTTTTATTAGATTGTCGATATCTTTATCTCCGCTAGATAACTCATCGCTATAAATTTGTCTGTGATATTTGAAACAGTCATCGCAGTTGTATTTATTTTCTTGGCATGTAGTACATTTACTACAATCATGAGTATTGTGAACTAAACACTCATCGCAGTATCTATTCCATTGACACTCAGTACATTTACTACAAGCATGAGTATTTGATTCCATCCTCGAGTTCGCATTAGATTTGTGTAAATCACCATAGAATGCATGCATTGCTATCAAGTAATCGTTTGTAACTGGGTTTTTAGTCATGCCATAATATGCTATCAAGACGCCGTAATCGTAGCATTTAAGAGCCGTTTGAATCTATTTTTGAAAAATTAAATTGTATTAGCAACAAAAAAACAAATTTTACTTTTAGAAAAATGTTTATTTTTTACCTCGTGTATAAACTCTTGAGTAATTTGCTTTGAATTGTGTAACGATTTCAACACAACTTTTGCTTCTCCTTTTCGTTTAAATTTATTTTCTTTATGATACCATTTGGGATGGTATTTATTATCACAATAACAATAATCATAAACCAATGGTCCATCCAACCAGGTTGCTTTATAAATTTTTCCAAAACCTCCATTTGCAAGATGCTCAACGTTGGTAAATCTTTCAAAAGGAATCCATTCGAATATATTTTTATATTTATAATTAACTTTGTTGTTGCATTCTTTTATTAGATTGTCGATTTCTTTATCTCCACTAGACAATTCATCGTTATAGATTCGCTTGTGATATTTGAAAGTCTTCGCAGTAACAAACCAACGAACAATCAATACATTTCCAACAATCATGAATATTGTGTACTAAACACTCATCGCAGTAGAAATTATTTCGACAACGCCAACATACATTACAATGATGAGTATTTGATTCCATCTTTGATAAAATGCATGAATTGGTTACATGTAAAATAAAACAAACGATAATTGTTGACGTTATACAGTTACGGAATACATGTACTGTACATGTACATGAGAGTTACATATAAAATCTTATCATTACGTATTAATTCACGTTTTGTAAAAAATTTGTAACGTCGTCGTCGCCGCATAAACCACGGGGTCTGATTCATTCAATCTAAAAAAGGATTAAAAAGGTGGTCCGTTTTTGCGGCAAATAAAATACAATTGTTTGGGATGTCGTCAATTCGGGATTTCATTTGTCGGTTTATGAATTGTCGCGATTGTTATCGGGATATTTGACATCACCATAAGTTCTCTCTTTTATTAAATGCAATATAGTATGCAAGTACATGGCATTAATTGCTTCATCTTTAGGTATTTTTAGATATTGGAACTTCTTAGTCATCAATTCAATGTTATCCAGATTGCACACGAGGAGGTTGGTTCCAAATTTGCGATCCAAAAAAATAATATTGAGTTTTTATGGTTATTTAGGAATTAATGGTTATATATATATATATCCCTATGACCAAAAATCCTTGATAAGCCAAGAACAAATAATGATATTTACTAACAGATATATTATTATTTAAAATCTTTTCTGCATTTAAAAATTTATAGAGCTGTCAGTATCGGTATGTAAACTCATAATTATTAATGAAAAAAATTGAACCAGTATTGATTTCTAAAAATAATGCTACTAAATTTTAATTCACATGATAATCATGAATACGCACATATGATATTGTGAATTCGTGGCTTTAAATTTGGTGAGACCATAACGATAATTCTATTTTAAATACGTACCGGTACGTATAGGTACAATTACCGTCATAAATAACGAGAATCGATAACGATAACGATAAAATATGATCGCACCCATCATATGGAACCAAATTTATCAGTGATACCAGATAAACAAAACCCTAAAAAACCATTGTTGTGTATTTTTCTCACTACAAAAACGAATAAAATGCCAATGAGCTTTGGAAGTGTGGTATGCGTATGCCCCAACTTTTAGCAAAACTAACTGTGTTCCCTCTCTATGGTATATAAATATATGTGTCATTTAATTAAAATAAAAAAAACGATAAACTCGCATTCTGGACGACATTTACTAGAAAAAGAATCTATTTAAACGCAGTTTTTTAACGCCGACTTGCATATCAGGACAAATGTAAATTAATATTCTAAAGATTTTTACTTAGATCAAGATTAACTAATTAAACTAACTTTTTCCCATGATGCGCATTTCGTATTCATAATATATGATCGAATTTGTAAATTTGAAATTCGGGGAGTTTAAATCAATTATTAAAATAATGAAAGAAAAGAACCATAGCACATGTATAATATATATTATTCGTACATAAACACTATATCTACATACCTTTAAAGCCACAATCTGAATGAGTAAGATCCATTGAATTTATGAACAAAAAATGATCTCATTATTATGGAGTAACTGTAAGTCAAACATTATATTGATACATGTACTGTATTTTCAATGTTTTTTTGGTCGTTTAAAGATGTCCGACATTTTGATACATGTACATGACATGTAAATGACTTGTCTTGTATTAATAGTATTAATACGCTTGTATTAGTATGGTATAATTTGCATAGTTATGTTCTCATACTGATTCATGTTCATTGATTGTAATCAGATATAGAAATTACATGTACATGTATGTAAATACTTGTAAAAGGAATTTCTGATTGATAAGATTTTTTAGATCCTCTATAGAAATTTCCACTTACATTATTTTCCACAACTGATTGTTAATATTACTAAAATCTATGAAAGAAATTCGTGGGTATATAAGAAAAATCAAAAATTTTAACCAAAGGTGTTTGGATTTATGTTTGCTTTATTTTAATAACAATTCTGAAAATGATTTCATTTAATGTAATTTCGTCCAAGAATTCAAGTAATGGGTTTATAACGATAAGGGATCTGCAATACTGTATTAGTATGATTGAGTTAACCTATAAACAGACACCCATATAAAATTTTTTCAACGACATAGTCCTGATTATACCATAAATAGATCAGAAAAAAGCGCTTGAATGCCACAAATAGTAAACTTGTAAAAATTAAAATCACTTGAAGGGTGCATACATACATTTACTCCAATTAAGAATTTTTCATAGAATGTAATTTGTAAGGAATGATCATTCTTGTTACTATAAACTTTTATTTTAGACGAGCCATAAATGGGGAGATTCGAATGATATATGAATACGTAGTTGGCATTTACTTTGTTCTAAAAAGCAAAACAAGTCACAATCTCAATTCTCGAATTCATAAAAGTCTTTGACATGATAATCGATACATTTACACATACAGAATTACGTATTTCTATTAGTTCCAAAGGAATAAACGATAAAGTTTTTCCACGTGAACTAATAAATTTTGTAAGCATGTTCACTAAATAGACATTTGATTTTAATTTAAATGCAAACGTGTAGTTTTTATGCAATTTTTGATACATGCAGATACAGGAAGACGAATATGAATCTCGAATACAAAAATTCAACGAGCTGTGGCACGAACATCGCAAACCTACTCTCAAAAAATTTGTGATATTGCATATGTTTACAATATTAGGAATCTGTTTGTTGATACCCTTCTGTATTTTTTATAAACTTAATGGAAACATCCATGAAAAAATAACAAGCAAGATTGTTCGTCCGCTCTTAATTTATCTTATCGCAACAATGGTATTTATGAATATTTTCTGGATGTGGTTTCGTACTGTGACTCTTAATGAGAGGGTAGGGTAAAACCTTTTTTTATGATATTTGTTCGTATCTCATGATATTATTATTACTTAATCTTTTTTGACCATCTTAGTTAATTAGTGCTATCAAAAGGTTGCTTTCTGAATATAATAAAAAAGAACGAGATACAGGAATTACTTGGGAATATGGGAATTCGTGTAATGAGAAACCTTCTAATTGGGTAATTAAAGAATCATTTGATATTGATTTCTTTTAGAATTTTTCTAATCATAGAACTTCTTATTATTCAAATAGAGACATCATTTCTGCATGGGTTTGCCATTTTTACGGCAAAAAGAGCTTCTCCTCATTAGACTACCTTCATACCCCTTTTTAAACTACCACAAAAGTTTTTTTCAAGATAGTAGAATATCTGAAACTTCGCTCACCACAATACTCGAAATTTCTGATGATGAATGTGAATAAATTAAGGCATTTATTTATTAAACCTAATGATTTACACTTTAGTTTGAGTTTATTACTATTTAACGCTAAGAGAATCTGAGAGAGATTAAATTCAATTGCGGGCTAACATGAATAATTCATGCGCAAAAGTTTAGCATACTTCTCTTTTATATAGCGATAGCAAAACTTGTTTTTATTCGTGTTTACTACGTCAATCTCACAATTGTTTGGAACATTAATTAGCTTGACAGATATAAATTTTAAATGAAACATATATCTGATTTTCTAGATTTATTGTCATTAACGATTACTCTTTGCTAGTAGAATTTACATGTATTGTGTTTATTATTGTCTTTATTGATGATTGTAAAAGAACACGTTCTATGATATACAAACTATATATACATGTAGCTATGTTACATAACTAAGGCTTCATCAAGCAATGTCCGGAGGAAAATCTATTTAAGTCTCTATTAATCTGAAGCTCATATTCTAAACTCTTTATTTTCCTCCTGATATACCACAATGACTGCACGTTTTACTCATATAATGTTTCTGACACGGAATATATAATAATCTTGTTAAGTACAAAGAAAAAGGGTCAGATCATGCAATTTAAGAGACAAACAAGTTAATTTTTTATTGCGCTTCGAAATTTTGTCTATGGAATCTCTGACTTAAAAGAAATGTTCCTTGAAACTTTACTATTAACCTCATATGCAATATATCTTTAACGCTGAGTCTAACTTTTTTACATCATGCAATAATTGATGCTATTAATATTTCATATCTTGCGATTTAATTGGTTTACACCTTATCGTTATATGATCTGCCCTTTTTTTCGGTTTCACTTTGTTACATGTACATGTTACTAGCTGTATCAGTATCACGCAACGGTGTACATGTACACTCCCCGATCAAAAGTGTCCGACCATTTTAAAACTGGATAAAAATGCACAGTCTTCAACAATTAAGACCTTGACAATTTATAAACAAACATTATAAAAAATTTATATCATTTTATTCAGAAAACATGAATTTTATTAATATCTAGTTGGAGTTCCATGGCTATCTAATACTGCTTGAACCCTCCTTGGCAAACTTTCAACTAAATTTGTTAAAATTTCAGACTCAATTTTATTCCACTCCTCCTCCAAAACTACTATTAATTCCACAATATTTTGGATGAGGTTTATGTTCTCTAACACTTCTTTCTAAAACATCCCACAAATTTTCAATTGGATTAAGATCTGGGCTCTGTGCAGGTCATGGAAAACTTAATACCAAATTATTCTCTTTCCATTGATTGATCATTCTTGCCCTATATAATGGAGCATTATCATCTTGAAAAATATGTTGTGAATTATTTTCTAAATTATTATAAAAGGGTAAAAAAGTATTTTCTAATATGTCTATATATATAGAACCTTTTATTCTATCTGAAACTGGAATTAAGGACCAATTTTATCTTTTGCAAAACATTTCCATACCATAACCCCTTGATTTCAAGATTTTACAGTTGGAATTAACAACTTACATCATGTTTTTCATGTGATCTATACAAAATCTAATATTATATATCATTTTGAAATAACATAAAGCAAGATTCATTATTCCAAATAATAGAAGTTTACTTATTATTCCAATTTCTTCTTCACAGCACCATTCTAGTCTTTTTGTTCAGAAATAAATGATTTTCCCTTTCCAGCTCATCCATAAATCCCTCAATATGTAAAGTATAATTGATAAAGACTTACTAATTTTTTGTCATTTCATCTAGTGATTGTTGCTGATCTTTCTTAACTAATTTTACAAGACTTCTAATTTTTCTTTCTGTGAGTTTTGATGACCTTCTTGAATGCAGAGCATCTGTAACATTTCCTGAATTTTTATATTTTGTTATAGTATCAGAATAGTGATTTTAGAATGTCTCAAATATTTCAGTAAGTTCACGCCTTTTGGACATTGTAAAAGAAAAAATTCAGGTAGCTGAAGTCAAGAACTGCATGGAAAAAATTTTATTTATTTAATGCTTAATAGTTATGGCGTAATCTTATTTTTTAAGATAATGATCTGTAATCTTAAATCAGGTGGTCGGAGACGGAGTGTACATGTCGTAATTGTATGAAAATACGATTATCGTTATCTCGTTTTGTTTACTATTACTAGATAAAAACGCATTATATAAAGCAAACTCAAAGATGAATCAAATACTCATCATTGTAATGAATGTGATGATTGTCAAGAGAATGAATACTGCGATGAGTGTTTAGTTCACAATACTCATGATTGTAATAAATGTTACGACTGTCAAAAAAATTCCGCTGCAATGGCTGTTTCAAATATCACAAACGAATTTGTAACGATGAATTATCTAGCGGAAATAAAAATATCGACAATTCAATAAAAAATGCAGCAAAATTAATTATACATATGAAAATATATTCAATACAAGTCAAATTATACAGGAGGTAGAAATAAACATTTTTTAAGTGAGGTTTCTTTTGTTTCCTGATACAAATTTTTCAAAAATACGTTCAGAGCTCTTAAAGATTATATTGCTGTTATGGTTTATCACGGAATAATTAAAAATCCAACAACAAACGAATACTCAATAGTGATGACTTATCGCTATGTGATCTCAGTAAATACATTAATTCCAACTACGAAAAATTGACTTGGAATCAAAAATTATTTTATTTATCTGATATTATCGTAAATCTAACAGCCATTCAAAAGGAGGCATTGGTACATCGTGACTTACATCCTGGAAATATAATGTCTTTATATTGTTGATTTTGGACTTACCATTCTAACAAATATAGAAAAATCAAATAAAGAAATTTATGGGTTCTTCCTTATATGAGCCCAGAGGTACTAAGTGGAAAGCCATACACTGAAACTGCAGATATTTATAGCTTTTGGAATGATTATGTACAAAGTTGTAATTTGTTGATGAGCGAAGTCATGATATTATATCTTGTATACGACATCTATAAAAGAATACGACCTACGATACCAAATAAGGTTTCCGGATGGTGCAAGTTTATTATTGAAAAATGTTGGGATCCTATTCCAGAAAACAGACCAACCGCTTATGAGTTAAGAGACTTTATTCAATCTATCCAATATGATGATTAAATTTATTGGAACTGAATTCGTTACAGTTTCATTGTCGTTGCAGTTTCAGTGTTACAGCTCTTTAAATATCCTCAAACAAATAAAGAATTAAAGAGTATCTTAATTAGAAAGACAGGAATTGAAAGAGATGAATTATTCCTACAAATAGAAACAAAGAACAACAAATTCACTCAAATGCAATATACATCGGTTGAATTTTTACTTCAAAATTAATATCAATTCCAACCGATACAGATAGGTGCATTTGGTTTTATGTTCAATCAAAATGATATCTCAGATTGATTTTTAATATATCACAAATATTTAGCCCTACAAGTGTTAGTTTATATATTCCAAATGAAGGTAAATATTAACTTTCATCAATTTTCTTTAATTCATTAATTTCATTATTTTCTTTAATGACAAAAACAGATTTTGAGATCAGTAACTGATTTTACGATCCAAAAGAAATTGCACTTATTTTAATTTCTCTGTATTTCTATATATTCATATAATAATAATACATATGTTGTGTAAGTGGAAACAAATTAGAGTTAATATTAGAGTTTGTATTTACTTCGTTAAAGAGACATACCTACTTCGAGGAATTATGTATCTAATATAGGTTTACATCTAATATTCAGTCACAGTTCAGTTGTTGTTGTATTAGAGTTGATCGTATGGCGCTGAAGAATGTGTTTGCATTCGATATTTTAATTTTTATTTCTATGTCTTGATGAATAAAAACCATAATAACTCTAAGTTTTCAGGAACCACTTATGTTCTGTGACTTAAATCATAACTCTTATCAAAAATGATAAACCAATTAATGGTATCCTTGAAAAATAAGACAAAAGACTTAATGCGCATTCATTACAAAAATTGACATTTGTCTTTATTTACTGATGCATCCAACTACATGCATAAATCGTATTTTCTGACGATTTGATTTGATTTGATTTTAATTCTTTCGCTACCTGGCAGCATTTATCGAAATTGAAATTTATCACTGATTTAAAACATGTATAATCTCTTTATTAATTAATCTCTTTTAGCTATGCATTTTTTTGGTATAAAGCAGATGTCGATTTAGAAATCAAAGTTCAAAAACTCATGTCAAAATGTTACGACATAATGTATTATAAAAATACACTTATTTACCAAAGAAAAAAATGGTAAATATTCAATACTTACTAAATTGGCATGTTAACATCAGCTTGAAGTTTGACATTGAACCCAAAATAATTATTAGACTAACAAAAGGTTTTACTAACTTCTTATTTATTTTATCACATTAATCTATTTATTCTCATATTCTTTATATGGCAAAATACGATACATGTATCACTTTCGTTATTCTTTTACTCCTAGCATTTGACTATAAAAACAATAAAGAAATAAATTATCGTTTGTTATGTTGGTGCTAGCCTGAACATTCTTATTAGCATAGAAGACATTTATAGTTTTTCATCGTTTTATACTATATTGATACAATTTCATCAAATTCAAATTTAAAGTGCCACAATAAAGCATAGCTTAAATATACATGTATATGCATAAAGATTTTTTATATCAATTATTTAATGAAACATCACTGGTTATAATTTTTCATTTCAACTCTTGATGCTATATCTTAAGCTTTTTTTTATATAAGCAACATCTACAGGTAAATTTGTTAGAATTGACTATATT